GGGTGAGGGGGGCAGGTGGGAGCTGGTGCACGGGGGAAGCCAGCGACAGCCCTGGCCATCACTAGACCGCAGGGGCAGGAACTCAGGCGCACCCCGTTAGTGGCCGCTTTTGAAAGTGTTGGCTAAAGTGACTTGTTCAAGGTTGCATAGGAAGCCTGAGGCAAACCAAGGAACAGAAGGCCCATCTTCTGTTTTCTTTTCTAGTGCTTTAAACACAAGATGATTTTCCCCCTTTACTAGATGATAGTAAAAGGCAAGAGTATCCTAAACATGTATTTCTGCTTCAAGAATACAGACAGGGCTGGGTGTAGACTGGCATGATTTTCCGGAAATGCTTTTAACGGAAAAGTGTTCCGTTAAAAGCATTTTCGGAACAGAGTGTCTAGATTGGCACGAACGCTTTTCCGCAAAAGCACTTATTGCGGAAAAGCGTCCATGCCGATCTACACGCGCTTTTCTGCAAAAAAGCCCCGATCGCCATTTTTGCGATCAGGGATTTTTTGCGGAAAACAAATCTGAGCTGTCTACACTGGCCCTCTTGCACAACAGTTTTTCGCAAAAAGGACTTTTGCCCGAATGGGAGTGTCAAAGCTTTTCCGCAAGAAGCACTGATTTCTTACAATAGGAAGTCAGCGCTTTTGCGGAAATTCAAGCAGCCAGTGTAGACAGCTGGCAAGTTTTTCCGGAAAAGCGGCTGATTTTCCAGAAAAACTGGCCAGTCTAGACACAGCCACAGATGTATGGGTTGGGACTTCTGAGAGAGTTTTTGCTTCCTTGTTGGTTCTGTAAGATAACAAATGAACCTTTAACTTGAAAAAGAGCAGCTTTTGGGATTCTGTTTCTTAACTATTACACACACTGACATTTTGTACCATTGCTTTTGTTAATGTTTAATGTAACTTCTTTTTTTAGGATTCTCATCTTCAACAGTTAGACCGCGTTTTAAAGATTAAAAACAATAGTGTTCACTTTATTCATTTAAGAAATGCAGGAACTTTGAATGATAAAAGGTAAGTTTTTTTTTCTGAATTAATTGTATCAGAATTCTGACAGTACATACAGATTCCAGAGAAAATATCTATAAATGTGGCAGCCATGAAAATGAATATAGTGTGATTGTTGATATGAACTAGGGGGAAAAGGTTAGCCTTTTGGGTAAGGAAAGGACTTGGAATTATCACTTCTGAATTCTCTTTCCAGGTTTGCCACAGATTTCTTGTGTGAAATCATTCATTCTTTAGTTTTGCCATCTGTAAGGTAGACTAAATGGTTCCTCAGATATCTGAGATAATTGGCGTGAGACACTCCTGAAGAGTGTTTTATGGTAACTGTCATACTTTTGCCTTGTCACATTGTTTGATACTGCAGACATTTAACTGAATTGTGTATTGCTATAAGTATGCATGCACAATACCCAGATACGCAAACTAGATGAAAGGGTACTACTGAATTTGATCTTTTTTTTGGGAGACCTCATTTTTTAGGGCTGCAGCTGCCTCTATTTCTCCTTTGGAAAAGTGGAGATGTTGAGAGATTTGCCTAATTTGTAACATGTTTTGAGATTACTGGACGAACACTAATTAGAAGTGCAAAATTATTATTTTGTTGGAATGAATAGGACTTACAAAAGAATATGAATGATGAGCACTTCACTTTGTTTACAAATGCAGTTGCTGTTTCCTGTATAATAAGTATATGTTTATAAATACAAATTATTTAGATTTACCTTGCAGATGTAGTCTGTCCTTGCAAGAACTGCTTAATCTTTAACAATGTTGTATTTTATAATCAAGAAGTCTTCCATCAGTAACATTCTGGGCATAGAAGTAACTGGAGAAAGACACCTATTTAGTCCAATTAGCTGTCTATAATTTCAGATTTAAAAAAAATCCACCTCATTTATAAGGGTGCTTTATGGTATGTGGTAATTTGTGACAGAGTACCTCCAATCGCATGGGACTATCTCATGGTTAACATGTTCCCATGATGATATTGCTCCTGTTTTGCATTTGTTACAAAAAAAGAGTTTCATGCTAAAGTAATACATATTTTCTCCTATAATAGTAATAGAGATGTAGCTGTGTTAGTCTGGTCTTGCTGAAACAAAAGACAGGACTATGCAGCACTTTAAAGACTAACAAGATGGTTTATTAGGTGATGAGCTTTCGTGGGCCAGACCCACTTCCTCAGATCAAATTGTGGAAGAAAATTGGCATGACCATATATATCAAAGGGATACAATAAAAAAATATGAACGCACATAAAATTGACAAATCAGATTTTAGAACAGAAAGGGGGTGAGGGCGGGAGGTTAGTGTCTATGAGATGATGTTGGGGTGATAACTGGGGAAGCTATCTTTGTAATGGGTAAGGTAGTTAGCATCTTTAAGGCCCATTCGTAAACAATTTTATAATTGTTCACTTTTTTTGATTGTATCCCTTTGGTATATATTATTATTGGTCATGCCAATTTTCTTCCACAATTTGATCTGAGGAAGTGGGTCTGGCCCACGAAAGCTCATCACCTAATAAACCATCTTGTTAGTCTTTAAAGTGCTGCATAGTCCTATATTTTCTCCTAGTAATCTCAGATTTGTTTACTTGCCACTGCAGTTCTTTAGATGAGAGTACTTATGAAAAACTTGCTGAAGAAACACTGGACTCATTAGCAGACTTCTTTGAGGATCTAGCAGACAAGCCTTTTACGCCTGAAGATTATGATGTCTCCTTTGGGGTATATTTTACAGTTTCTATTCTTACTGTAATTATTGTGGGGATTTTCCTTGAGGGAAATATTTTCATTCAACTAATCTTTAGTGCAAAAGTTTAAGATTTAAGGAACAGTTCACACTGAATAAATTAGTGAAATAAGTTTTTTAATTTGATTTTACTCATTGAGGGAGTAGCAGCTTTTTTGATTGAAAAAATATATATTACACTTTTAAGATTTAAAGAATTGTAAAATTTAACATTTAAGCAATTACATTTCTTTCTGTGAGAGTTTTAAACAATTATTACCTGAAGCTGGAAATTTGTTTCCAGTCTCTTATACTGGTCTCTGGTACTGGTACTTTTACATTTCACTTTCAGATTTACTAGTGGTTATCTTGGTGAAAGTGACAACTGTAGCTAAATTTATTTTCAAATAACTGTCAGTGTATTTATAGTGGATGGAATCAATTAGATTATATGTTGCTGTGCTTGATTTGAGGAGAATAAAATCTAATCCTGGCCCCTGAGTGCAACAAAGGTTCGCACTACTCTGGTCTTTGGACTGGGATATTAGTTGCTTTCTGTTTATATTCCTATGTAGAGATTCCCAACTAGTGGTTCTACACATCACAATTTGGATGTATATAAACAGGAGACTTGGGCTTCTGCTGCTAGCATGGAGGCCTTTAGTCCTCAGATCCTCTAAGGTCAGCTTTTCTGAGCACGATGTTCTCTCTCTGTCTCACAGATGTATGCAAGTGGAAAAATAATAACCTCTTTTTGCATTTGGCAAACACTGACAATTGAATATTTGACCAGATATTTTACCAGTAACTTAGCAAATAAATAATAGCAATATATTATTCAGCTGCTAGGGTTTTGAATAGATATTGAAAGGCTTTGATTATTAGCCTTTCAGTATCTATTCAATATAAAGAATAATTTGAAAACTAAACTGAAAAATAACCCCTAAAGGGTTATGTTTTATGTTTTTCTTTAGATTAAATATTTGTAAAATGCTTCCTTACTTGAATTGCTATTCTCTCCAATAACGTTCAAAAATAGTGTTTTTGACATGTACTTAATGAAAGGTTTGGAGGATTTTTATTTACATCAATCTTAACATTCACATTATGACTATTTGGATTCATATTATTAAAAGACTAGTAATGTGACTAGCCACAGGGTGGCACACTTGTAAATCTTGAGCTTTTACATTTTTCCATTGAGTTAATAAGTGGTATGTTTGAGGAAATCTCCTTTTCAGAGTAATCTCATTAGCAGAAATAATTAATGTCCATAACAGTGTGCAGTAAGCTATGCACAACAATAAGAAATTAATTTTCAAGTGTTTTTTACATTAAATTAACCTTTACAAATATTTTAAAATGTGTTTTCCAAAATTTTAGGAATAGTGCAGCATGAATGTGCAAATGTTTTGTTGCCAGGGTTTGAAATTAATCCTCACTTGCTTTACAATGTTAAAGCAGAGATCACCTCTCTTATGTGTGACACATCATTAGGACTTCTGATTTTAGTTTTTAACCAATTAAAGCACCCTGATACAAATAATCATTTCTGGTGTTTTTCTTTTAACAGATAAACACCATTTTTTCTGGTATCTAAAAGCTTGTCTACAGGGAGCAGTACTACAGACTGCAGGAGTCTGATTTCTAAAGCACACTAATGTGTTGTGCATAATTGGTCCATGCAGACCAGGGGTGGGCAAAAGCATCTCAGTGGGCTGGATCTGGCTCACCTACAGTTTTGATCCGACCCAGGAGGCAGTTCCAGGCCCTGCCCCCTAGCGCGTTGCCTGGGAGCCGGAGACGTGCAAGCCCTTTTAACTGTTTCTATTTAAAGGGCTCGTGTCTTCCCTGCGCCTTGCCTGGCAGCCGTGGGGAACACGAGAGCCCTTTAAATAGAAGTAGTTAAAAGGGCTTGTAGCTCCGGTGCCGTTAGCATGTTGCTAGGGAACCAGACACGTAAGCCCTTTCAACTGCTTCTATTTAAGGGGCTCACACTTGCTGGGTGGCTGCATTGCCTGTCATCCGCCTGGCAGGCGCAAGCCCTTTAAACAGAAGCAATTGAAAGGACTCGCAACTTTCAGTCCCACTGGCCCATTGCCTGGGAACTGCCCGGGAGGCGTGAGCCCTTTCAGCTGATTCTATTCAAAGGGCTTCTGCTTGCTGGGCAGCTGCCAGGCAACAGGTTAGAACGGGGCCCAAGAACTGCTGGCTGTGCTAAGTGTATTCTAAGCCTCCACCCCAGACAACTCGGGGAAGAGACTAGCCCATAGCACCCTCCCATCCATTGGCTAGAAGTCAAGAGGCAGGGACCCCAGGCCAAGCAAAGCTCCCGGTAGGTTAGCTCTCAACCTTCCGGGTCAGCCCACGGCAACGTCCGAAATTTGCGAAGTAGCCTCCCCTTCATAAATTATTGCCCCTCCCCCTTCCCTGATGTAGACACTGCTGGTGCACATTGAATGCTTCCTACTGCATTATAGCAAAGTACTGTTTGCAGTAGGGATGTTAAATTTTGAATAATCAATTAATTGAGTAGTCAGTGGAATTTCCATTGACTGCTTGATTAGTTGATAAGAGGTTGGACGGGAGGGCACTCGCTAACCTCGCTGCGCCTCTGCCTTTTAAATGTAGTAGAAGCCGCTTGTGGCTCTTACTACATTTAAAAGGCAGAGGCGGTGCAGCTGGGAACCCAGGGCGGGTGGCTCTTGCTACATTCAAAACAGTCAGTCAGGCGTGAGCAGGGACTGTTTCAGTCCCCACTGATGCTGATTTCCGCTGCACCTCTGCCTCCCCTGCTGCCACCACCCCCGCGGAGGTGGTGCCGTGGGGAACCGGCTTTTAAGCTGGCTCCCCCCAGCACTGACTCCTGCTTCTCCCCCTTGATGCCTTTCTCCAGTATGGGAAGCAACAAGTTGAGTCATTAGTCAACTGTCATATAGCTGACTAGTTACTTACATCCCTAATAGACCTCCCTCCCACCCCCGCTGCCTCTGATAAGATGCCTATCGGGTAGTCAACTAGTCGCTTACATCCCTAAGTAGTACTACACTGAAGTGAGCTAGGGACCATTACAGAGAGATTATTGATACTCATAGTACTGTAATGAGTAAGGTCATAGTATATGTTGTTCATTTACAGTTTATAGAAAGAGAAAGCCCCAAACTTCACAATTTTTGGACATCTATATAAAATTTAAAAAAAATGCTGAAAAAATAAAACACAAAAACTGAAATTAACAACCCCCTCCCCAAAACCAGAAGCCCAACACAATAGAGCTTTTATTAGCTCTATTGAACCCTATTGGAATATTACCAAACAGTTGTGTACAGCTCTGAACACCAGCTAATAGAATATATTAACACATTTGTGCAAATGATTTAATTAGAATAATTGGTAGTTTTCAAAGCTGTTCAAGGTACTTTTGTTTTATCTGTTGCATTTCATACTGTTCTTATTATTTTCACTGTTCTGAGAACTCATAATGAGAGTGGGAAGAGGTTAGTTTTAATCCTCATGACACATTGGGCTAAAGCAGTACCCAATTAAAATAAAATAACTGGCGAGGAAATTGAATGACTCAGTATTAATTAGCTCATCAGAGGTGTATTTTATTCATTTGCACTTCTTTTCTTCTATACCATATAGAATAATCAAGCAATCTTTGTTTCTTTACTGAACTGGGACAGCAGCAAGTCTGGGATTTAGATTCACACTTCTTGTGAGATGCCAGTAATATAAAGGGTTGGGTGATGTTGCAGAGGAAGTGAGCTCTAAACTGCTGTTTTTGCTGTGAAGTGATGTTGAATTTTCAGTAGTTACTCAAGTCACAAGGTAGACCGCTGTTGAAAATTCAGAACAAAATGTTACCTACGGAAAATTAAAGCAGATCTAGCAACTGTCTTCTGCATCAGAAAAAGGGAATGCAGGATCACAAGAGTAGCTGTAACATAGAGGGGGCAACAGTGCGTTTGTGGAGGCTGTAGGGGAATAGGGCTATCCTAATACCTGATCTACACCACTGCTATTTTTTCAGTGTAATTCAGGTCACTTTCAGGTTTACTCAGTTCAAATAGTATCTGTCTTACATCCTTAAAGTTAGGACTCTGTAAAAGAGTTATAGTTGCCCTCCAAAATAACCTTGTGAAAATGTCAGGCCAGTATAAATCTTCATGCTGAAATACAGAGATTTCAATGTAAAGTAAACACTCCCTAAGAAAATGTTCAATAATTGAAATAAGCAAATCAAAACAAAACTCAGATAGTTAGAAGTAGAACATTCCTGAGCTATAATCCAGGATCTTGGCATTTTAACATAAGCTATGAGGAAATCTACTTGTTCCACTCATTTGGCGACAATGTACAGCTACAGAAAGAAAAGTAAAGTAAACTGGATTGCCTAGAGGTTCAATGGGACATGGAGCCTCTTGGCCCTGGACACCTGTTTTAATCAGGTTGGTAGTGAACAAAAACAGTTGCTTCCTTCTAACTGTTGGATATTCTCGGTGAAATGAATTGATGGTCTCAATCTAGTTTCTATTGGACTATACCTACTTCACAACTCAACACTAATCCTGACCCACAAACTAATGCAATAAAAAGCATCATGTAATAAAACATGCTCCATTTTTTTAGAGAGAGGTCAAGATTCACAGGAGCATTATTATTTGTTTGAGTCCTAACACTGTGGATGGTGCTGTACCAACTCACAAGTCCAGATCAGGAGTGCTTAGAGTCTAGGTAAAACACAGATGATATATGTGTCACCATGGAGACTGACAACTTCTTCTAATGGTGGTCCCACTGTCATCAGTGAAGCAAAATGCCACAGCAAATTGTTGAGGATTTGAATTTCCACTAATGATGCTGATGAAGATATATCACACGTTGGTGTTTTGATGTTTATAGCTACAGTGCCTGTTACTGAAGAAACATCATAATTCTTATTACGTAATGGTACTTTCCATCTTCTCCCCTTACCTTTGTGCTTTAGAATGGAGTTTTGACAGCTAAACTAGGTGGAGACATGGGAACCTATGTAATCAACAAGCAGACACCAAACAAACAGATTTGGCTGTCTTCTCCCACTAGGTAGGTAATTATATATATGTTACAAAAAGGCTTAACATTCAAAGATAAATTAAAGTCTGTCTGCTAGCCCTGTGGAGACTTTTTAATGTTGCTCACATTTCATGCCTTTTCTAAGCACTATAGGCTTTTTTCCTAGAGGTATAATAACTAGTTTCTTTTTATACTTCAGGTGGTGGACCAGCTGACTCACAAACTAGTACAATAATAAGTATAATATAATAAAACATGTTCCGTTTTTTTAAAATGTCTGGTTTTCACAAGCACTATGAACACTACTGAAGCCTAAAAGAAACCGCTGTGATAAAAGAACTGTTGGGAGGATGAATGAGACTGTGTTATGGTCTAATACTATTCTTGTTTAGGGATTCATCCTGTATGCCTGTGTATGCTTTTCTTGTTTTGTTTGTGTGAATGTTTTTCTGCAGCTTCATTGAGAGAAGTTTTTATCAATCTTGTGCAGTTCTTAATGTGGAGGTCTTGTTTGCTGTGTCCTCTGCCTTGTCTTGTACAGCAGTTTGATCCATTTCACGTTTGGCAATTGGTTCTGAATGGTAGAAAGATATGCAGAATGTGTTTGAAAAAAGCGATAAGTGGCCTTACCAAAAATTTACAGTGAAATCTGCCACTTTCCCAGGACCATCATCTCTCTGGCATTGTTGATGAATGGCCTAGCTAAAAAGGAAAGACAAAGCATATACATTCAGCTTTGCAGGTAGATTTCTTAGAGGTCATTGAAATAGAACATACGAGCTATAAAATCAGGAATGGATCAAGCTATTGTGCAGTAGGATTAATATTTTTAGAAGTGTTATTTTAGAGAATCATCTTATTTTAAATAGTCTGTCTAAGTAATTAAAATACACTTTAGTGATTTGCCTTCTGGTCTGCTACAACTGTTTTTTGTGTACACTTGGTGTACAGCGATAACCTTCAATCTTTCCAGACTACTGTGCCCCTTTTGGAAGACTGATTTGTCTTGCATACCCCTAATAAGGATGTTAAGTTTAGATTAATCAACTAATCAAATAGTTGATGAAATTTTCATTGACTACTCAACTAGTCAGTAAGGGCGCCTCTGCTTTTGAAATGTACAAGAGCCTTCCAGAGCTTTTGTACTTTTCAAAAGTGGATGCATGGGGCCAGCGGAGAACTCAAACAGTTCCCCACTGGCTCTGTGCTCCCTGCTTTTGAAATGTAGGCTCTTGCTACATTTCAAAAGCCAGGGGTGGGCGGAGCATGGTGGGGGGGGGAGGAGAGGAAAGGAAAGGGGGGGTGTAGCAGGGAACTAGCAGCACTTCCACCTTTGAAATGTAGCAAGAGCCAGGCTCTTGCTACATTTCAAAAGCCAGGGGTGGGCGGAGCATGGTGGGAGCGGGGGATTCAAGCAGTCTTCTGCTCGCCCTGTGCTCCCCATGGTGCTTCTAAATTTGAAATGTAGCAAGAGCTCTGCTCTTGCTGTATTTCAAAGGTAGAAGTGCCGCTAGTTAACTGCTGGGCCACTCTCCTCCCCCCATGGAAGCTGTCCTGAGGGAACCAGCTTTTACGCTGGCTGCCTCCAACACCGGATCCTGCTCCCCTCCTTGCTGCCCCTCTCTGATAGAGGCAGCGGGGCGGGGGGAAGCAACTAGTCACTTACATCGCTAACCCCTAAGTTACACTTCTCTTAAAAGCTACTTGCTTACAAAATCAGACATGAAAATAGAAGTGTTATAGCACACGGTTACTGAAAAATTGCTTGCTTACATTTTACCGTACAATTATAAATCAATTGAAACATAAATATTGTACTTACATTTCAGTGTATAGTATATAGAGCAGCATAAACAAGTCATTGTATGAAATTTTAGTTTGTACTCACTTTGCTATTGCTTTTTATGCAGCCTTTTGTAAAATTAGGCAATTATCTAGATGAGTTGACATACCCCCTGGAAGACTTGTGAGTACCCCCAAGTGTACACATAACCCTGGTTGAGAACCACTGGTGTACAGTATATTAGGTAAACCGTTGTAGCCTGTGGTTAATCCCTCTCTCCTTCAGAATCTTGGTGTGTTTTTTTTTAAATAAACAGGATATTGCATTTCAAAGAGTTTTATCTTGGTGAGGCAGTAGGCAAGAAACCAGTCCTTTTTATTTGTCTAGACACTTGCAGACAGAGCCCCAGAATCCAAGTTATTCATAAGATTTTTTTAACCTCATTCTCAAAACACAAGTTCAGGTTCTGTTTACATTATCTGGTGATTAAGAAGTCAGAGAGTTTATATTGTATTGGGATCTATTTAACTTTTATGAGCCAACATTAGGAGTGAAGAGTGTGTGTTCCTGAGCAAGAGATTTGTGGATGAAGAAAAGTGAGAAGGGAGAGGAAAAAAATTGCTAAAAGCTCTTGACACTGAAATAATTTTTTGTATGTCTGTCTGGGAAATCTCTCTCTCTCTTATAAAGTTTTCTCTCTCTCTTATAAATGCTTCATCTGTTTATGCCAAATACTTGCTTGTGTCTTCCAAGAAAACACTATGGCTATGTTTACGCTCGCGGCTTCTTGCGCAAGTATGGCCATTCTTGCACAAGAATCCGCACAAGAGCATCCACACTGCCCACCAGCTCTTGCGCAAGGAAATTTACAGTATGGCGTAGTAAGAGAGGGCTTCTTGCACAAGAGCTACACTCTTTTTTAACAGGTGTAAGCCTTCTTGCGCAGGAACTGTTGCGCAAGAGGGCAGTGTGGACGCTCGGCAGGGATTTCTTGCGCAAGAAAGCCCTATGGCTAAAATGGCCATCAGAGCTTTCTTGCGCAAGAGAGCATCCACACTGCCATGGGCGCCCTTGCGCAAAAAAACAGCTCGCACGTGGCAGTGTGCCTTAGGCTATGTTTACGCTCGCGGCTTCTTGCGCAAGTATGGCCATTCTTGCACAAGAATCCGCACAAGAGCATCCACACTGCCCACCAGCTCTTGCGCAAGGAAATTTACAGTATGGCGTAGTAAGAGAGGGCTTCTTGCACAAGAGCTACACTCTTTTTTAACAGGTGTAAGCCTTCTTGCGCAGGAACTGTTGCGCAAGAGGGCAGTGTGGACGCTCGGCAGGGATTTCTTGCGCAAGAAAGCCCTATGGCTAAAATGGCCATCAGAGCTTTCTTGCGCAAGAGAGCATCCACACTGCCATGGGCGCCCTTGCGCAAAAAAACAGCTCGCACGTGGCAGTGTGGACGTTTTCTTGCACAAGACTACTTGCACAAGAACCCACCAGTGTAGACATAGCCTACATGTTTACTTAGTTTTCCAATTCCTGCTAAGTGATTTTGTAACTCTTATATGCAAACATGTACTGCATGCACTGTAACTGACACTCTTTACATATGTGTCCTGTATATGATGCGCTAGAGAGTGGGAGAAGCAAGCACTGCTGCTAATGATGAACATAATTTGAATATTGTGATGTTTTGGTACCACAGCTCAACAAATGTAAAATTGTTGAGTGTTAATGATCACTTTGGCAACACAACCATGAGAGAGGGAGAAAAAAAACACTACCATGAGAGAGATTAAGAAAAGGAAACTGCAGTTGAATCTCTTTAGCTTCAGGCTGCTGTGTTTTGGTACACGCATTCAGGAGAACTAAATCTGCATTTGTATAGCAGTGTACAATTGGCATATTCAAAAGGTGTGCCACCTGCATGTAGCAGGAGTGGGTCTTATGCATTTCAAAGGGAGAGAGGCAGTGGTAACCTGCTGGGTCTCTCCTTTTGAAATATACAAGAGTCGAGGTGGCTCTTGTATATTTCAAAGGGAGAGGTTGCAGCAGGATAGCGAGCGCCCCTCCTTATCAACTAATCGAGTTCCATTGATTACTCGATTAGCTATTTAATTGAAATTTTACATTCCTACCCGTGACATCAGGAGCTCCAAAGTGTTTTCAGATATAGCTCTCCTGCAGATAACGATCTCCAGGGCAGATATTTTTTTTATTTAGTAATTTAATCAAATTTTATTTAACTAGAGAGAAAATAGTATTCTGTGCTGTATACAGCAAAGCATTTTGGACATTTGCACATTATTTCAGCACATTAGTACAAATACTTTATATTAATACAGCACTTTACAAACAACATTTATAATGCCTTTAGGAACTACTTATTATTACCACTGTTACAGATTGTGGAGAATGTAAATCAAGTGAAGGAAAGAGGAACCTTAATGGCCTTGATCCAGTGAAGTGTATAAGCAAAAGTAGTCCCATTGAAGTCCATAGGACTACTCATATGCTTTAATTTACACACGTGCTTACCCTCAGATGCTTTACTGGATAGAAGTCTTAATGATTTCTTAAAGGCCATGTGTTAGAACCAGTGTTTGAGCTGGAATTAGAGTTTAATGATGATTGGCTTCTACTCCATGTTGAGACACATACCCCTGTCTTGCTAAATATTATTTTGCCTCTGGCTGCTTTCTTTAATTTAGTCATTCAAATCCTCCTGGTATTTTTTTGAAGATGGCTGAAATTTCAGAAATGTTTGACCTATGCTGATACAGTATACATGTTCTGTTTTCTAGTGGGCCCAAACGTTATGACTGGACTGGAAGAAACTGGGTGTATTGTCATGATGGAGTATCCCTGCATGAACTACTAGCAGTGGAACTCTCAAAGGCACTAAAAACTAAAATCGACTTATCTCCCTTGGCATACTCTGGAAAAGGTGGTACTTGATCATTTTCTACCTCAAAGAAATCAAAAGACTTTGGCCTGTTGTCCCTTTTTGGTGTATAGTTTGTAAGGTTAACACCTTGATCTACTTCCATCTTCATATTTTTTGTTTTAACTTCACTATGTTGTGTAACAATAATGTGACCATAATATATTTTTCTTATTCCTATATGTTTGTGTTAGTGTGTGAATTTGTGTTTGTTATATGGGTTGTTTTGTGTGTGTGTGTGTGTGTGTGTGTCACTGCATTCAAAATTCAAAGCTAATTATGGCATTGGACATTGGTTGTCCCAGCCATGTTCTGACCATCTGGTTGGTGATTCATCAGTAATGCACAGATGAGATCTCGTGACCAAAGACAACGGTGCTACTCGTGTTGGGCCCTTACCCTAGTTCAATTAAAATCAATTAAATTAACTGCAGCGGGGGAGAAGAGATATTAAGGTAATATTTTATGTAAGAGCCTATTGTGCTTAAAAGGAAATGGAAATGTTTTTATTTTCCGTAACAGGTGTAATAGGTGTAATTTTCTTCTTAAAATATCATGGGATTTAATCTGCAATTCACATTTCTGCCTTTTTCCCTTCAATTTTTCAGGCTTATTCTTTTAAACTAAACTTCCAGCTACCAATTCTGCTTTCAGCAGGGGTCTAAGTAGTAAAAAAGAGTGTAATATTTTTGTTTAAAAATGATACATTCATAGTTGTAGAAAAAAGGATTTTTTTTTACCTTTTCTCTATTTCCTTTTGCTATGAGTATCTTCATAAAGTAACCATACATTGCTTAATAATATTAATGATATATTTATGTCAAGTGAGGGTGTTCTATTCCAATAGAAATAAGCCAAGCCAAGCCAAGTTTGGCATAGCTCATGATGCACGTCTCATGTTGTTGAAGTGAGGCACAAGGCCAAAGGCAAAGAGATAACACAAGGCATGCACTGAAACCCTGTTGTGTTATTCCTGCCTTCTTAGGACTGAGAAACTGGAGCCTTCGGACTAGCTGAGAAATGTAAAAAAAAGACAAAAATAGGTGATTTACTCGAGATATCACACCCAAATAATTTATAAAGAAATCATTTAATAAGTGACATTCAAACCTTTGACACTATAAAAGTTGCTTTATTGTAACAATAGTTATTCCTTTTCAAAAATTGTATGTAAAAAGGAGCCCAAATTTTCTGTCATATTTGCAAGACCAAGCCACATGTATGTAAGCTTTTAGCATTATATTAAAAGAGACCTGATACAGATTTTGAAATGCAATGTTTTCTTGGCTTCTGAGTTCCCCTGACAACTTCCTTGTGTTTATTAAAATGACACGACTGCCTGTTTGGCTAATACTGTTACTTTTGTGATGTGTCGTTGAACAATATGTAATAAATATACAGTATTCTTAGGTGGCATTGCCCATTATTTGGAATTAAAATGAAATTCTTGATACCAACTCTTGCCTGCTATTAATTAAAATATGAACTAACATCTCATGGAAGCCAGTTCTGGGTTAGATTATCTGTGCTATGTATGTGTATTTTTCAGCAAAAGGAAAAAGGGAGTCAGTCACATTCTTGCTAAATAACTTCCGAAATCAAGGAAATACAGTTAGGGCTACCAGTATGAGTCAGAGAGAGCAAAACACAGCACTACACAAAGCAGAGAGAAACCAGAACAGTTAAAAGAGGTGGGGCATGAACACCTCATTTACAGCAAATAGGAATTTGAGATGAAGCTGTTTAAATTTCACCCCTTCACAAAACTAGATTTAGTCAGCATGTATCTGACATTAGTGGTATGTTCACACAGGAGCCTTTTCAAGTTGGGTGAGACTTGAGCTAGTTGGGCGTGTTCTGGCACTGTACAAATAGCTGTGGAAACTCTGTTATGAGGTGCAGCTCAGACTGGAGTTCGGGCTGTGAAGCTTACATAGGGGCAGTTTGGACAGACCAGCTGCGCTCTACATGGATGCTACAACTACAGCGGTCCAACAGAAGACTCTTGGGTAAAGAGGATTTCCAGTGCAGGACTACAGTCGTAGAAAATCTTACTTATATATGTTAGAATATGAGCAACCCTATTCTAGTGCTAATCTAAGAGCAGGTTCTGTTAATGGCCACTTCCTAGGCACAGCTAATAATTGAGAAGACTCAAGAAGTAGAAGGTAAAAAGCAAAATAACCCAAACATGCAATAGAGAAAACTGTCTAAATAAAATGGCTATCTCAATTGAAAGTGTTTACATAACATAATGGCACTTAATTGATATGAGCTAATTGATTATGTTCCAAATTTGGATATGGAAGATGGATTCTTTACAAGAGCTTAGTGTTGGCTTAACACTTGGTCTCACTGATATCAATGGAAGTTTTACCATTGGCTCAGTTAGGTTAATGGAGAACACTTTTCAGAATTCCTTTAAAATCCTACCTATGCCTAGAATTCAGTGTTTTCCTTCTTTTGTTACATGCCTGATCACTAGAACCCTGCATAGATACAAAACTTATATCCATGTCCACACCCACATCTGCCCAAATGAGCTGCCAATATCCGCCTCCACATCCGCGAATGCAGATGCCTGCCGATTTTCAGGGCTCTCCATCACCTGTGCTGACTATACTCCAGTGGGTAGGTATTTTAGTAAATAAAGGCTTTCAGTAAATTGGGGGAGTGGTAGACAGCTATAAGAACCAGGGTTTAATCTCAAGGTACAACATAATTCAGAAAGCAAAAAGCAAATTGTGTCTTGATGCATCATATTGGAAGATCTTTGGACAGAGGTTCTGTTGTCTTACATGTTTTGTACAGTGAGGGCCCTGATCCCAAGCTGGGAGTTTGTGTGCTGCCCTGACATGAATGTAAAAGAGTGTGCCAGAGAGATTGATGCACCTTCATTTGTCCCTCTGCACTAAGGCTGCAATACATTGACTCAGTTGATGAGTATCATTACAAGAGCATAGGTGCTAAAGCACCTCTTTTTGCTTCCTCACTTCACTTGTCTTGTGGCATTATACTTTCAGACAAATGCACTGAATTAAAAAAGGATGAAAATAGAAGGTAAAGAAAAGTCCCAATTTAGCTCCACAAGTTGTTTCACAAAATGAGAAAATCCTGCCCTGAAGAGTTTATAGTCTAAATAACTGAGAAGACTGACAAGTGAAGAGACACACAGTAGGGCTGTGCAAATAACTTTTGGTTTTTTACTTACTGGCTGAACCAAAAACATTAAAAAGATCAATTTTAAGTTTACCCTCATCAAAAATTTCAGGTTTTGGTTGTTAAAAAAAAAGAAAAGCTATTTAAGTTCACAGTTTTCTGATTGAAATGTTTAGATTTGAAATAACCTTGCATTTTTTTACTTATTTTGAGTGAACGAAACATTTAAACCTTTTAAAAAGAACACTGAAGTAAAAAAAAGGCAAAGTTTTTCCAAATCTAAACATTTCAATCAGAAAATGGTGAACTTAAATAGCTTCAGAATTTTTTCCTTTGTGTTTGATGGGACAAAAGGCAATACATGGAGGGGTGTGCTTTTTCAAAACAATAAAGCAAATTTTACATACATTTACAATTTTTTGTTAAAAAATAATTAAGCTGAAAAATTTGACCTTGCTCTAATAAGCAGGAGTAGGGCAGAGAGACTAATGCCATGGAATAAAGAGAGAAAATTGGATTGTTAGTTCAGTTTAGGCATATGTTTGGGTTAATAGCTCAGTTTTGTGGGTCTGAAAATAGTTTGTAGGCGTGTGTTGCAGAAATGAGTTCTTGGGAATAATGTAGATGGTTAAAGCAGTTTTTGAAAGAGCATTCAAAATATGAGTCAGCATGGGAAGAACAGAGAAAGTTGTGTGAAAAAAGTCAAAGGCACTTGGAAGTGGGTGAGGCAAAAGGGGACATGAAAGAAAAGATCAGTTGCAGATGGAAGGTGCTCTATGTGGTCTTTGCAAGTGAGGACAAGACATTTTAAATTGGCTGCACACAGCTGTTTGGAGCTGTTGTGATCTATCCTGTGGATGCTTCATAAAGAATAGGAGTGACTTGTATGCTGCTATTGAGGGGTTTTTTTGAACTGTAGTAAGACCAGGAAAGGACTTTATTTATTTGCACCCTTTCCAGGGTTTTGTCTGGAAGATAGAATCAGCTAATATCTAGAGAAAGAAAACAAATGTTTACAACAAGCTCCTCAGAGCAAGGCAGCTAACCTCTCCAAGTTGCTGAATTATTTTATCAATTTGTATTTGGGTAATTGTGTAGCACTAAGAAATCAATATGGTACAATGGATGATTTTGTACATGTTAATTCACTGATTTTTACACTGTTCCTGCTACTAATTAATATTTTCTGTTATGTTTGTCTTATTCTATATACAATTTTAAGAATAACATGTATCTTCATCTTCAAAACACTTAAAAACATTAGCTAATCCTTATGAGACTCCTATGGAAGATAAACATAATTTTCTATCTGCAATATATGGACTATATATGGAGTTTACTTTTATTAAGGAAAAAGGAATTGACACCAAAAAACACGTGAAACAAATAATGCAAATGGTCAGACAAACTCAGAAAAGCAAGGACATTCAGAGACTCCAATCTCCACGTCTGGTCTCATTTTGCTTTAGAACTGCAGTTGATTATCTCCTGCAGTAGCTGAAGGAAAAATAATTACTTAATTAACCCTGAACATCAATTATGTATATTAACCCTTATTTGTTTGGGGGCTTTTGGGGAGTAGATAGTTCAATAATGTCACTTACATTTCTGTTAATGATTAACAACACTTGGAAGCAGGGCCTTTAAAAATATTGTAATGGGGGAATATATCTTAATAGAAGCAGGCTCTTTCTGCTGTGTTTAGTTTTCAAGTCAAAGATTTAATTAAAAGCATGGTCTCTTATTCCTTCTGTTCAATGCATGGCATATTATGCCATAGTCAATCAAAAAGCAATTCTGTGAACCCATGCTCCTGGGCATTCTGAGAATTTCTAAACTTGAGCCACTGCTGTAAAATGATCCTGCCCACACTTGGCAACTGCCCTGCAAATTGTCAGAAGCCTGTACAGGGTAAAGTCCAACAGCTACAATACACTGTTATAAAGCTGTTGTGGGGAGTAAACTGTTTGGGAGAAATTTGCTTAGAGGGATACTATGAAGCAAACTAGCCAACAAAAGGCGATTTTTGTTGCTCCTTTATGATGTGTAAATATTACTTCTTAAATAAACCCTCATTTTTCACATTAAGACGGTCAGGACTTGGCACTCTCTTTTCAGATCAATGACTTCAGCAAAGACTGGAAAGCTGAAATATCTGGAAGTACATCTCGAAGCATAGGCTGATTAGGGAAGTTTAGGTTTCAGAATCGTGTCTGGAAGAACTGGAGGGTTCAATTACATTTTTTAGCCTGCAACTTGAGTTGCTATCAGAAGTTTCAGCTGTGAGGTGTGATATCACCAACCAGATAATCCAAAGATTTCTCAAACCCACCAGGAAAACAGAATAATGTTAAGAACAATTAGGAAAGAGAGAGAGAGAGAGCAATCCATATGCAATCCTCTAAATAAATCCATGATATGCCCACATCTTGTAATTCTGGTCTCTCCATCTCAAAAAGATAGACAGAATTGGAAAAGGTATAGAGAAGAGCAACAAAAAGGGGTATGGAACAACATCCATATGAGGAAAGATTAAAAAGATGGGCTTTTCAGCATGGAAAAGAAAAAAAACTAAGAGGGAATAGGATAGAGATCTATTCAGATCATGAATGGTAAGGAGAAAGTGAATAAAGAAGTGCTATTTAGTCCTTCATGTTACAAGAACCAGGACTCACCCAATGATATTAATAGGCAACAGGTATAAAACAAACACTAGGAAGTACTTCTTCACATAAAGGCACAGTCAACTTGTGGAACTCTCTTTGTGAAAGTAAAAATCATAACAGGTCAAAAAAGAACTAGACATTCCTGGAGGATTATAGATCCCTGAATGGCAATTAGCCAGGATGGGCATGGATGCAACTCCATGCTCTAAGTGTCCCTAGCCTCTCTCTGTCAGAAGCTAGTAATATTTCACTTCATGAGTGTCTTTTCTGTTCATTCATTCTGTAACACTTGGATTTGGCCCCCGTCAGAAGACTGGTTAGCTGTCAAATGGTCTTACCTAGACTGTTCCAATACTTGTTCTGTGACTAAACAGAGGCCACAGCTGTCAAATCAGCAGTGCTTTTCAAGATTAGTGTGATTTGTAGAGGTCCCAATTAAGATCAATCCTCAACCCAAGGAGATTTCAATCTAAATAGAATGGGAGGGGAAACGTAGAGGTGAAGTGACCTGCCAAAGGTCACATAGGAAGACAGTAGCAGAGACTAGACTAGCTCTCAGCTTGAATCCCAGGCTTGCCCTATTCTGTGAATCACACGGTCTCTTCGCTCAGACATTTCCTAACAACAAATTACGTTGTTAAGCCAAGCGGTCAAAGATTAGGGAAGAGAGGGCTGTTTTTCCTGATTTTTTTCCTTTCTAAATTAATATAATAGTGATTTTGAATTTAATGTCGATTTTTGGGGGGGGGGAAGCTCACCAGTTTTTTGTTCACTTACGAGACAAAGCGGTCGGCGAGAGGGTGAGTTTCAGGTCAAAACACGGGCTGATGTAATGGCTCAGAAGATCCCACCTAGTGACTAAACCCCGAGTCTAGTAGCTTTCCTCCTCGCACCTATTGTACCAGGGCTTTGAACCGGTATTTCCTGTTCCACCCTCTCCAGCCAGAGCCAGTCGTGGGGGTGGCTGGAGAGGGCGAGAAGCTGCCAGTAAATGGGAGAGGAGGCTGGGGTAAGTCGGCGGAGCGGAGCTGCTCAGGCGGCTGTGGGCGTGCGCGGGCGGGGGGGGGGGATGTAGAACCAGCTGGCCCCCCAGCGTGTGGACAGAGTTTAGCGCGGAACCAGGACCTCAGGCAGCGCTTCCGTGCATGGCAGCTCCCAGCTCCACCTCCCTCCCCGCCCGCTGGGGAACAAGCGAGGGCTGGGCCGGGGAGCGGAGAGGCAGGTGCTCCGAAGGGCTCGGCCCGCTCCGACCCCGCTCACCTGCCTTGCTGGAGGTCTGATCAGGTCCCCCCCCCCTCTCCATTTGCCTCCCACAGGAAATAGCCTGACTCAAAGAGACCCCGCACCTCCTGTCCCCCAGGCGTCCCGGGCTGCTCCCTCCCCCAGCCAGGGGGGCGCTCAGCTCCACACGGCGCGGGCTGCTGCCGCCGGACGCCTTGCCAGCCCCGCTCCAGGTATGTCGGCGCAGCCTCGCGGCTCCCCCTTCTCTGCGGAACTGCTGCTTCCGAACCAGCCCAGCTGATTTGGAATGTCGCGGGGTGGTGGGGGGCGAGCCCCACTTCGCCACGTGCAGGCCAGGCGCTTGGCGGGGACTCTTCCAGCTTAGCTGGTGCGGGGAAGGAATTGTCCCCTGGCTCGGGTGTATTGCCCCGTGCAGTGGAGCTGAACAAAAACCCCCTTCCCCAGTCATCAGGGAAGTTCCGCTCCGCAGCCCGGCTTCCCAGCTGGCTCTGTATTGGAAATAAACTTTGGGTAAATCTCTGCTCCGGATCGGCAAGCTGCGGCTCACCCTCCGCCCCTTCCCTCTCCTGCTTTCTCCTCGCCCTTTTGCGCCTGTGCGTGCCTTGGCTGAAAGAAGCCTGAATTGGGTGTGCGTGGCTGGCTGCACATTGTTCTCGGGTTGTTTGGCTTCATGTTCGCTCGGAGGCAAGCCTCAGCAGGCTGCCAGCCCCTGAGGGAGGGAGGGACTCTTGTTCCTGCTTCACACTACCAGCCTCTCCTCTAGGGAGCGGGAATACCCAGAATCTCATTTACAGATGATCTTTTCTGTAACAGGATTATGGGCCTCTGTTTCAATTCCCACGTTAAGTACTTTGAGGGAGTCCATGATAGTAGGTGGGTAGAAGAGCTGTCACTGAGGAATCAGGCTTTCTTTAGTTTTTCTTTCTTGGAGTGTGGGTGGGAGCGAGGGAGAGAAAACGTACACCAGAATAGTGACTCAGAGTGTCTTTGCAATACAGAAAATTTCCAAGATCTTTATGTTGGCACGTCCTCACTGAATGCCAGCCATACTTCTGGATGAGGGGACATTTCAGGATATCAAAGTATTTTAAAACAAGATTTGGCAATTCAGGGGTTCAGAAATACCTTTACAGCTGTTTTGTTTCTTCAGTCAGACCTATTAACTCCTCCTCTTTCTTACTAGGTTAAACTATATGCTAACTTTAAAACACAAACCAGATATTACACAGTACCAATTACTAATAACAGTAGTCCAAATTAAACAGCTGAAGTTTGAGAAGATTTAAAATCTGAGATTGTGTAAACAGCATAGGAATTGACACAGGAAATGAGGGCTAACATAGCTTTTGAAACCGCTAAACCCCAAGGTTTTGTCCCACTACAAAGCCACCACAAGTCTGGTTTGATGTGACAAGGACCTCATAGAAGTTAACTAGAATGTACAAGGCACAGCACTAATACAATGAAATTTAATTTTAATAATGATCACTTAGGGTTAGAGAGACAAGGTGGCTTTTATGGAACCAACTTCTGTTGAGAGAGACAAACTCTTGAGTTCAGGACAAGGCTACACATCAAAATTGTCAACCTAAATTATGTTGACTGTGTTATGCAGTAACTGAATAGCTTTTTTTACATAACCATGCTCAGCTCTTTGCATTGGTGGTCCACATTCTCACTGGGCATGTTTGCACCAACAATAATTGCCAGTGTAAGGACATTGTGGGATAGTGTCTGAAAGAAAGCAAAAGTTGATGTAAGCTACACAGTGTCTACATTGACACTTCATTGACCTAATTATATAAACTTAAGTTCTGTGCCTCTCATGAAGATGGGGTATTTAAGGGCTTCTCTACACTACAAATTGTAATTTAAGTTAATTCAGCATACAGCCAACATAGTAATTACAAGTAGTGGTTCTTGTTCACACTTGCCCCTTTTGTCAGTGGCACACATTCTTAGCAGCAGCACTTCCACAAATGGGACTCACACCTGTCCCCCCTCCCAACTGTCAGGCAGGTGCTGGCTCACAGCTAGGGTCCTCTCAGCCCCATGTGGGGCTCACAGATGGATTCTCCCAGTTCTGGGGATGACTGTAAAAATACAGTTTTTTTTTTTTTTAAAGCAGAACAACCCATTCTAACCAACAGCTGGAGACAGAAGGTGAAATAATAGCATCTATGAAAATGACAAGAATGTCAGTTTCACCGGTGAAACAAAAGACAGGACTATGCAGCACTTTAAATACTAACAAGATGGTTTATTAGATGATGAGCTTTCGTGGGCCAGACCCACTTCCTCAGATCAATTTGTGGAAGAAAATTGACATGACCATATATACCAAAGTGATACAGTCAAAAAAAAAAGTGAACAAATAAAATTGACAAATCAGATTTTAGAACGGAGAGGGGATGTGGGGGGGAGGTTAGTGTCTATGAGGTAATGATATTAGGGGTGATAATTCCTAATTATCATTCATAGTTCCTGCTGTGAGACTCCCTGTTGTGAAACTTAACCTTGCAACACCCTCTCAGCTGGGGCTATCAGCCTGGGAGTGATTGGGGGGTGGGGCAGGAGGAGTGCCCTAGCCCAGACAGTTAGCAAGCTCTGTAGTAGTGTATAGATCAAGCCTTATCAGTGGAATGGGTGAGTCAGGTAGGTGGGAGCTACATTTTAGTGTAGGCGCTTATAGAGACAGGATGATGTAAGGTAGTTACATAACTTGGTAGAGTAGACAAAGTGACCTGAAGAACAGCTCTGTGTAACTTATGTTAGTCATTCAGCTGTAGATCAAAAATAAATGTTCAAAAGCCATTTCTAATCGGCATTGATTTGTTGCTTATTAGTGCTCACGGTTATTCAGTGTTGGGCATGACACAAAAATAATAACCATGCATTGCTCTTCTAGTGCTTTTCCCATCATAACAAGATATCACTGTACAGTATATTCAACACAATGGGCCATATTCTGATTGTTTGACACTGCACGGCCCTGATCATTTAAGAACTGTTAAATAGACTGTGTGTTCAAGGGCAAAATTAGATGATGCATTTGTTTTATATATTTTGAGACTCTAGTATGGATGAAAACTGACCATAATACAGTGTACAAAATGCTCTCTACAAAGCCTCGTCACTGAAGCTTTAAAATAAGCCATCACGGTAATTGAGTCTCCCATATCTTTGATTGCTTAATCTTCCCATTCATGTCTCATAAGGACAAGCAGGAGATATATTTCTTTGTGATCTAAAAGATCACATAGCTGCTAATGTTAACAGTACCAGAAAAAGGAATTGGATGCTAGCCATCCTGAATTATAAGAAATTGGCTAATATTCAGATTTATTGAACTAAAATAAGTTTATTTTAAATACAAAATAGCAAAATGTTTGCAATCAATAGCTTTCATTAACTTTCCGACAGCTCAAAAAGCACATGACATAAATATTTCTGTCCGAATATAGAAAGAGATTATTTTCTAGGGCAGAGGGAGTCACTTGAACCTTTCCTATAAAACAGTATTTTGTTAAAAATGTGGGGTTTTTTTTAATCATTTGAGTGAACTTGTCTTGTGTGTGGTTTTTTTTGTTTTGTTTTGTTTTTTTTCCTGGAATGAATAGAAGTGAGGTGATTTCTAATGCAGTATTTTAAATTCTTTTTTAATCACTTAAGGAGCAAAACAACTAAGCATTTCCATTCTAAGCAGCAGAACCAGTAAGCTACGTCTACATTGGCAAGATTTTGCGCAAATACTTTTAACGCAAGAGTTTTTGCATTAAAGTATTTGCGCAAGAGAGCGTCTACACTGGTATGTGCTTTTGCACAAAGTCATCTGTGCCAGTGTAGACGCTCTCTTGCACGCAAGAAAGCTCCGATGGCCATTTTAGCCATCGGGCTTTCTTGTGCAAGAAATTAATGTTGCCTGTCTACACTGGCCTCCTGTGCAAGAACAGTTGCGCAAGAGGGCTTATTCCTGAGCAGGAGCATCATAGTTCTTGCACAAGAAGCACTGATTTCTTAACATTAGAACGTCAGTATTCTTGCGCAAGAACTTGCAGCCAGTGTAGATAGGCAAAAGTGGCCGTTTTGTGCAAAATCTTGCCAATGTAGACACATCCGTAAAGTTTTTAGGAGCCTCTATCTACATCCAACTAATCCTTTTTTAACAATCTAAGTACTGCCAGTCATTACAATTTTTTTTTAAAGGTGTGGTTATGGAAAAACATCCACAGTGTATTGGGCTTGGAATGTATATATTCCCTGACACATTAATATTATTGCATAAAGTCTGTAAGTCCTAATCCCTATATGAACGGGATTTCAGTGAGCCTTTGATGGCTTTTCCAAGACTGTCCAACCAAGCTGGAAGTTAAACAAATGCTCCCAAGAACAGGCATTCAAGGGCATATTTTAACATGGAGTGGTATGAATTAGGCCTTCTCTGCATTAACAGAACTAGCGAGTATCAGTGTAACTATTAAGCTAATCTACACTGCAGCTATATTAGGTTCACATTGATGTAATTACATCATTGTGGGAACATCTGTGTATGTTTTCTTAATATTAACAAATCCTTAGATGCACTACTAGTGATGGACAACTATTAAAAATTGTTTGGGAATCTTCAAAAAAGCCACCAAGTTCAGAGGTGTGGTTTTGTTTTTGTTTTTTTAAACCCTGCACTTCCCGAAACAGAAGTGCCACTCCCTCATCCTGAACTAACCTAGTATACTTTCTTCTTCAAAAAGAAGAGCTCCAAGGTAGCTAGCTCCCTTGAATCCAGCCAACTCTCTAACTCCTTGTTAACCCTCTGTCTTTAGAGCTTGTTACTACCCAAATCTACCTTGCAACTTCATTCACAATTATTAAAGCCATACGTAGCTCAGATATCTGCTTTATATGTGCAGTTATCTATGTCCACAGACCATGGATCCAATCGTGGATAGAGGCCGGTCCAAATTTTATTCTGCTCTGTAAATATCCTCTTTATATATGAAGTTCTGCAAATATTATCTTTATATATGAAGGCCACACTTGCAGATTGGATGTGGATACAAACTTTTTTTTGAAATGTAGCTGTGTCCTTAAGAGTATTAATAGGCCTTGGACTGTGTGCTGCCTTCTTATTAAGGCCTGGAGAGCTTGTATCTTATACTTAAATTATTTGTATTTAATCTGTACATGACTAAAGCAACAGCAACCAGTGTTTAGT